CGCACGCCTGCGACACGACCCAGCACAGCCGCGTCGCGCCCCGTGTTCTTCGTCTGCACTCCATGCTCTTCGCGCGCAGCCGTGCAGTTCCAGTGTTCTTCGCGCACAGCCACCAACGCCTAGGAGCCCCGCCGCACGACATCCTCGTGCACCGCCTGTGCAGAGGACTTCCAGCGTGCGACTCACGAAGACTGCGTGACCGCCTGTGCGCCCAACGGTCTTCTCGGCAACAGCAGCTCCCATGCGCATGACGACAGCGAGCCCAACAACCTGTGTGCACCCATTTCCGGCCTTGTGCGCGAGCAGACCGCGGCCAGTGAGCCAGCCGTCGGTCCCAGCGACCAATCCCGACTCGAACCAGCCAAGTCCGGCCCAGACCGGTTCAATCCGATTCAACTCGATCTAGAATCCCAGTTCGAGTCGAGATGGTTCCCGAGCGGTCCGAGCAGTCCGACTAACCTACCGAAGGTCCGAGGCAACCTAAGAAGCCTGACGTGCAACCGAAGACGCATTGATAAGGCCAAGTCCGGTTGCCCAACGGACTATGCGGTTCATACGATCTTCTATAGAGGAAACCAGAAATGTCTCAGAGTCGGCAAAAATTTTAAACCGTAAGTCCTAATCCTAACTATAGATTCCGTTGCGTTAGGATTTATTTTTCAATAGATTTGAATGTGCACAATAGCCAACGTTTCTAATAGAAACCGAACATGTTCGACCTCAGTGGAGTTATTCTGTAGCGCCCCGTTCGATTTATAGAATTTTCTGGATTATTCTATTTATCGAATTTTATTTATATGATTATATATATGGTACTAGTCGCGATGTCGACTTAAATTCTATGTTGATGTACTCGATCGTTTTATTTTAAAGCGTTCGTCGTTCGGCGATTTCGGTTTAATCGTGTAACTCAAATCTAAGCCGTTTGTTTATTTGGATTTTCAGATAATTATTGGAATTGTTATTATTATTATTACTATTGATAATATTATTATTATTATTATTATTGTTATTATTATTATTATTATTATTATTATTATTATTATTATTATTATTATTATTATTATTATTATTATTNAAATAATGGCGGTTTAATTTGGTTAATTTTTCGGGTCCTCGTATTTATTTTCCGAGCCTCGAATATATATTCGTTAAGTGTCGAGCCCGAGAAAACGGCCGTGAGCCCACGAGCCCTTAAACCGGCCCCCATGAGCCGCTCCACTTTGATTCTTGCTAGGCAAGATAATGTACCCTAGACTTGTTTTTAATCGCACAGCCCTCTTTTGTTTTAAACCTCACACGCGCAGACACCTTCGTTCTCATCTCTCTCGTCTCTTTCACAAAGAAGAAATCTTTTCCTCTCTCGTCGCTCATCCCTCACCCTCACTAAAAGCCGATCACCACCATCTTCCTCTCCATCGAATGAGATCATTCTCCTGCTGCAACCCGCGCCAGTGATCCCTCCTCTCGCGAGAACCAGACCCGCAGGCCCCGCTTTCGACCACCTCGAGCCGCTGCTCCTCCACGCGATCCCGTCACACGCCACCGCGAGTCGCGAGCAACCGCCGCCTTCGACTGATTCCGGCAACCTCGTTTCGACTCCATCTCGATCGTCTCATGAACTTTTCATGAGAACAGTACATCGAGGCTCGAAACCCTATATATTTAAATGTGTTTTTGTGTATTATATGTAGTTCTTATAATTAAATGGCATGTTGAGATGTTTATGATGTGTGATATGGAGTTTTATGTGGATTAATGTTAAGGTCTTGATCGAGCATGCTAAATATGATTTTTTCCCTTGCTTAGATGTGTTATGTGAGATATATGGGTTCATTTGATATGATGGAGTTGATTATAAACATGGAGATTCATTGACGAGTTTTCAGTTTGATTTGCATGAAATTACTGCTCTATTATGTTGCTGAAAAGGCCGTGAAAAACTCGTATTCTGAAATTATGTTCTTCGTATGATTTGAAGTTCGTTATGTTGTGGCTCTTTGAGTTTTGGAATTTCCAAAATCCGACTTAATATGAGAGAGTTATGATTTTTACAAAATTGTCGCGCAAGGAGTTTTTAACAAATCCCGGCACCATGTGTGTGTTGAATATTTTGTCTGTTTGTTGCATCTTAATGTGCTCAAATGAAAATGTAATCTTCATGAAAGTTATATTTCTAGTTCTAAGCTTTCTAATGAGGTAAAGTTTATGCTGAGATGATGACTGTAGCTCGGTTTGTGTTTAAATGATGTAGGAAATGCATGAGGTGAGTTTATGTTTTTGGCAGAAAATTTGTTCTAAATGTTCGTTGATTTTTTTCCTCTGTAATGACCTTATCTGCTTTAGTGTTCTAAATGAAAGTTATAGAACTATATCTTAAATTTTCAAGAAGGTAAAAATAATGGAAATATGATAAGTGTAGCATGAGGTGTAATTTTTAAAAAAATATTGTGCAAGCAGTTTTTTCTTAAAATCGGCTGTGTATATGATATTGATGTTTGGTCAGACATTGATGTTTTAACATGCTCAATGGTGAAAGTGGTCTTCATGACAATTGGTTTTATGCTTCTTGGCTATTCATAGGTTTTTGAAGCATGTCTTTTGGAGGTCCGTAGCATGATCTAGGTTAGAATTACTGAAGTGCTGTTTGTAAACCGAACTTAATTCTGACAGATTTTGTGACTCAAATGTTTTATGTTTAAAACCGTTGATAATATCTTTATTTGCCAATATGGTCTTCATCAAAGTTGTAGATAATTAAGTTTTCTGAATTTTAGTTTTTAAATTTCCTCGATAGCATGTATGTAGCTCCATATATATTGAATATACTGCGGTCCTGTCCGCTATATGTTTCCAGATTTTTCACAGCATTCCTGTTTCATATGTTTAATGATTTAAGACCTGCTAAATGCCATTATTTTCTTCTGATGTCTTCATGAGAATTGTAGAGGCATTTCTTAGGATTCATATTCAACTGGATTTGTATCAATATGAATTATGTGCTGTAAATGGTGTCGATTTCAAAATCGCTGTGCGGGTTATGTTCTGAAAATTTATGTGTTGTTTTCAAAAATCAAATTTATCTTTTTAATGCTTGCTTATATGAACTATATGAGTCGATTCTGATCACATGAATGTCGAAATGATTGAACCCATGTGTGGAATAGTTATTCATAGGATTATTTTAATATATGTAGGTACTTGACGAGTCGAGCTCGCCTTCCTATCAATTGTTGTGCTTTATCTCCTGCTGTTACCAGGTGGGTTTAATCTGAAAATTTTCTATGCTATAATAATGGTTGCTTTACTTGTATGGTATGATCAATGTATGCATGTGAACCATGTAGCGTTCGATGTGAGCTGTACCGGCCGTCGAACGGTTATCCCGTGGTTACAAAATAAACTCGAGGGGTTACTCCTACTGACTGGGCATCGATAGAAGCCCACGGGGCTTTCGGTGTACAAGCCCGTGGGGCATAGACGTAAATCCCATGGGGCATTCGAAGCATGACCCGAGTGAGGGCCTTCAATACATCTACTGGTAGTAGTCTATGCGTAGATGTGTACATGAGTTTGAACACTGTGAATTTATGATGAAAAATATGGGGATACTTGATGGATTCATATACATGCTACGTTCGTACCTGTTGTTATTTTCTTTTTAAATTGTGATTATTGCATAGTGGTGAGCACCTCGTCTTTCCTTATGTGCTCACTCCCACCTGAAATTCACATTTCAGGTTAAGCAGGGCAGGCATGACGGCGGTTGTTGCAAGTGGTAGTCGGTCTTTATGACCATAATATTATTTGATGCTTCCGCTCTTTATTTATGAACTGGATTCATGAATTATGAACTTGAAAATATTATATGGAATAATGTTGAGGAGATGCCCCGTGAACACCGTGATGTTTTTGGAACCCGGTTTGGGTGATGAATAATTTGGATGAACCCCTTTTCTTTGGGAGTTGAAATATTTGAATGTTGAATCATGTTATGGTGGATGTATGTCTGAAAAAGGATTTTGAAATAAATAAGTGACGCCACAAACAATTTAAGTGGAATTTAAAAAATTTATATGGATTTTCTTTAAAATAAAAGTGGGGCGTTACATATTCAGTTTTCCACCTCAGTGGCAGGTCATTCTGTTCTCGATCTCAGTGGCGTCGGTTCATTTGGTTTCGACCTCAGTGGAAGGTCATTCGGTTTTTGATGTTCGACCTTCGTGGAGTTATTCAGTTTTCGACCTCGGCGGTCCTTTCGTTTTTTACCTCATCGACATGTTCTTCGATTTTCGACCTTAGTGGTAGGTCTTTTGGTATTCCAAAAATTCGCATGTGCATACGGTACTTATTTATTTGATTTACCATGGATGAGAACTATACTTGTAGGTGGACAAACTCAGTACTTTGGTAAATAATACTGGGTGTATGATGTGCCATAGAAATTGTTTACGGTCACCATGTCCCAGTACGCTGGGTTGATGACGTCAATGAGCTCAAGAAAGATTATAATGTCAAGCTCGGCCGACGGATTAATCTCCGACATAATAATAATACATTAACCGATACTATTTTTGGATTCAAGCAGTTGATTAATTTTATTATCAGTAATTAAATTAATCAACAAAATTAATCAATGGACGTTATATCTTAAACATGGAGAGGTAAATCGAGCAATTATTTTGAAACAAATTATTTGTAATTCGACCGCTAAATGGCGAGTTCAGTAATATTGTTATAGTTGTATTTAATATTATTGAATTATTTGAAGAGTGGGCTTGACCCACAGTTAAGCCCATACTTAGGAGCATATATTTAGAACCTCCTTAGGGTTCCTATTGTAATCTATAAATACATCAAGTCTCCTAGCCTCCATAACATAAGGTTCCACACGTCCAAAATATCGTGGGGAAGAAGAGTTCTCTTTTTGAGAAAAATCGACCAAAATCTGAGAGGTCTAAATGAGATAAAAGTTGTGAGGCTTTGGGAGATCCGATTAGTCATCCACCATGATGAATCGGAGCTGGTGACCAATCATACAACAGAAAATCTCGAGGTATATACTCGTATCCTTGTGAAAATATAATCATCCCCAGAAACAACAAGAAGTCATCAGCAATCAACCTTGACCACTGGCGATAGCCCTGAACATCCTGCAGCTGCCATCCGTGCATAATCGTGTCCTTTTCATGCTCAGCCGCGTACCACCGCACACAATCACGCCCAGCGCCACCTACGCCACTCGCGCACGCAGTAGCACGACCCGCAGCATCTCAGCGCCCGCGTGCCCCAACTTCTACATGACCGTACGAACTGCATATCTCGCGCGCAACCCACATCTTCCGTGCGCGACCCGCGTGTCTCCTGCGCGACCCACTCGGCATCCTAGGCAGACAGCGTAGCACCCGCATGCACAGACCGCGTCCCAACATGCGACCCTCGACCACAACGTGCCTTAGCAGCTTGAACGCCGGCCACAGCGTGCACCAGCAAGGCTTAACTACCACTATCAAAGTCTAACAAACACCAACGGACCGACGACAATCCGATAGGATTCTGGCGACTCCGGGTGACGTCGATAGGCAATGACCATGGCATGAAGCCCAAGGTGATGTGATATGTGACTTGGACTCCGGGCAGCTCGATGAGGTTCAAAGAATCTTTATCAGTAAAAATCAGAAACGTCTTAGAGTCAACAAAAATTTTAAACCGTAAGTCCTCGAATCCTATCAATAGATTCCACTACTATAGGATTAAGTTTATAATTTATTTGATGCACAAATGAACCAACATTCTTCACCGAACCAACAAGGCTTTGTTGACGTTCCTAAAATCAATGCACATTTTCTATTTGCCTTCCCTTTTTTTGCCATCACCGCATTTGACAATCACCCAGGGAACGGGATAGGCAGAATATGATCAGCCTTGAGTAGCTTTTCTACCTCTGCCTCAATCACAGAGTCTAGCTCAGCACCAAAGTGCCTAATTTTTTGTGTGACCGTCGTTACTGCCGAGTCAATGTTCAACCTGTATCCTGCCATCTCTAGGCTAATTCAGGTCAGGTCATCCATCGAAAAAGAAAAATATCTGCAAATTCTCTCCTCAATGATATGAGGGAACTTTGGATATATGTCACCAGATGGCGTCTTACCTTGGTTGTCTTATCGGAATCCCCCTCAATCAGTTCATTTTCCAAAAGCTCATCCTGAGAACCAATCTCTACATACTTCTGTCATTTTCCATGATGCGAGCTCTCTGGTCGGTCCTGCTTTCGTTCTCTCTCTTCTTTCCCCATTAAGCAGAGCTTTTCAGCATCACTTGATAATAGTTTCTAGCATGTCGTTGGTCTCCCACCACTTCACCAACCTCATCATCTACCAGGAATTTGAATTTCATACCATAGGTTGAAACGGGCGCTTGAAACGAGTTGAGACTAGGTCGTCCTAGTATAACATTATATGCCGAGCTTGTATCTATGACCACGAAATGAACCATCTTCACTTTCCTAAGGGGAGACCTCGTTGACGCCACAGACAAGCGCACATCTCCCACAAGTGTGATCTTGTTCCCATTAAACCCATATAGGGTCATATGCACGAGTTCGATTTTTTCCTCCACTCCATTTGTTGCAAAAATTGGTAAAAATAATGTCCACCGAGCTTCAAGTGTCTATGAATACTCGTTGAACGTATAACTTGTTACCTTTGCGGTAGTGACGCATCATCATGCGGAGCGGAGATTCCCTATAGGTCATCTACACCAAATTTGAGTATGGTTTTGCTCCTCTACACACCTACTTCTGCGACCTTATTAGCGACCTTTTTATTATGTGAGTCCCCATCAGTAAAACCTCATGCAATCATCTGGATTACACATTTCTTTATTGGTCAATCATTCTTCTCCTCAGGGCACCTCTGTTTCTTCTCTACCTTCCGATCCTCCACCCGATCCTTGTCTTTCATGAAAAACTCTTTTAAGTTCTCATCTATAATGAGTCGCTCGATCTCATATTTCTGCTCTTTATAGAAGTTGGTTGAATGAACATAGTCCCAATGATACCTACAGTACTTATCCCTTCCATTAGGCACAAAACCTTTTCTCTGAGGTAAGGGTTTCGGTTGGGCGAGTAATCTCGTTTCTCCCCGTCTCTCCTGACTTAAAAAATTTCTTGCTGAGGTGTGTTTAGGGGCTTTACAAGGGCTTATAATGCTTGTATCATGGCTCTTTGAATCGATCTTTTCAACCTAGGCTCTTATTGCGACGATCGACGGTCACTTTGGCAAGGTTTCTCTTCCACCTGCTTAGCCATAGCCATGTTGTTTTGGAGGAAGCCAGCTTCTGCGTCCTCCATATTGACATACTTATTGCACCTCTCCAAAAGCTCATATAACAATCCCATTGGCCTTTTATCTAGCGAATCTCTACACTTTTTGGGGCTGAGAGCTCGAGCGTGACCTTCTGCTTTGCTTTCTTTTGAAGCCAAAGGGACCTCCACACATCCTTTGTATACCTTGCCACATACTGGCGCAACATTTTTCCCTCTTTCTGTAGCATGTTGATTAATGAAAGTTATGTCTTCTCATTCTTTATGGCACTTGTGAATTGGTTCATGAACAATGAGCAAACCTCTCAAAACTGTGGACAGACCCAACCGACAACTGGTGAAACCAACCTTGCGCTGATCCCTTTAAAGTTGTAAGGAAAGCTCTGCAACTAATGGGCATCACTGTAACTATGTAGCACGACTATATTGTCAGACTACCTCAGGTTCCTCGCAGGATCTATTGAGCCGTCATAAGTAGACTTAGTTCTCGGAAGTTATTAGCTAAGTCCCCTTCTAAGACTTTATATGAGAATGGATGTTCGCGAGATTGAGGTGCCACCTTGCCCTGGACACTGACCTGCAGCTCACGCATTTGCGCAGCTAATCTCTAGAGTGCAGCATCTCTGGCCGGTTGCAACATAGTTGTTTTTTATGTGACAGACCTTGTCTCGTCCTTATCTGGTCACCCTTATTTTTGAGTTCGCTGCTGAAGAAGCGATTGCTGTTGAGGTGACGGCTACTGCTGGAGCGATAACCACTGTTGGGGTTCGGGCAGAGCCTGGCTATTCGGCCCCTGAGCTCAGTTCATAGCTTCTACTATTATCATATCCAACTCCTGGTCAACTAGAGAGCTTGGTCCTCCTTGGCGGCCGAAGGGATTGGGTCTCGCTCCTCCAGTTGAATAAGCTAACCATCCTGACGATCATCCTGCTCTAGAGCTTGGCTAGGTCACAAGCCCTCCTGTTGGTCTCCTCCCTCGCTTGACTGGTTGTCGACCTCCTGCCGCTTGTCTTTTTTACCAACTTTTCTATCCTGGTTAATCCCATCTGCTTGCCCAGACCCAGGTCTCCCAAGAGTATTAGACAACGATGCTAATGCCATGCCAGGTGCAGGTAGTGTCTCTCTTGGTGTGAGGACAAGGCCAGCCGATTGCGACCACCCCGGTGGAGGACCTGATCTGAACGCCCTCTTTTGCCCATGCTTCATCCAACTCATTTGTCAAATTTTCTTAGAATTTATCCTGCCATGATATATGATTTTTGAACTTCAATCTGATGAGAAAATATCAACGTCTTATAGCCGATAAAAGACTGGTTTTTTCCACAAACTGCGCCAATTTGTTATGCAAATTGTCCTGCTATCCGATTTGAACCGCAACCTGCGACTCGAACCTTCTCGTCGCCTCCGGTGACCTCCAAAATGGCGGGAGGGGTCCCGACGGAAAAGGCTTTGATGCTCAAGTCAGACCATGTTCAATGATAAAGTAGCAGTATATCAATTTGGGCGTGTGTATATCTTGTTTTTAGAATAAGAACAGTACACCCTTTTATAGTTAGGGTTGTGTGTTGGCCAAGGTACTTTTAGTATGGTATGAAGTCTTCCCGTATTTTCCTTCTTGATTGACTAGATCTTCCCATATCTTTTCAGTGTCATACAATTTCCTTTCATAATAAATCTACTTGTGCCAGCAATATGTTTCTTAGGTCTCTGGACTAAACTTTGGTGCCTTCCTGCCATATCAAGAAGTCATCGCTAACTCAAATATACAGAGATTGAGCTCCCATCTATGCGTATTGAGGCCATCTCCTATCCCTTGGTATCACCAAGTCGTTGGACATACCTGGCCTAGTTCATGAGGTCTCCCTTTAACCCAGCCATGTGCCCTTGATGATCCGATCTCAATCTCCTTGAGGTCGGATGACGCTTACCGCTTATTAATCATGTCGAGCTCGCATGTCATCTGTGCATTGTCTCATGAGATCAGTCCTTTTTTTATCAAACCTTGTCGAGGTAAAAGCAAATTGTCCGATCTGCCATCGATCGTCGCCCAGCTGACCTTATAATGGTTCGAGCGACCTACTTTTGGGTGCTATATCAAAGTAAATGAGCTAGAAATGGAGCTCGTGTTCGACTCGTTTATCGTTAGGAACGAGCCGAGTTCGAGCCTTTACGAATCGATCTCGATCTTTAACGAGACGAACTATAGAAATTCTATAAAAATTCTCTTTTTGAGGCTTAACAAGCCTTATCGAGCCAAGTCGAGCATGGCTCGTTAACATAACGAGCTTTAAGCGAATTCGAGCTCGGCTCGTTTAAACTCAATCCTTAACGAGTCGAGCTGGGCTCATGAGGAGCTCATTTCATTGAAGTGCTCTAGTCACTCCAAATAAATATGATTAAACTTTGAAATTATTGTGAATTGAGTTACAAATAAAAATAGATGTCTTTTTCTGGTCCATTTTATAGGCCATTCTAGTGGTAAATTTCAATGTGAAACAGAGAGACAGAAAACACTGTTGAAAAATATATAGAGGGGAAAGTTCAGCCTCCAAAGTTTAATGTAAAACAAGACTATGGCGATGCAAACCGGCGTCGCTGCATCTAAGGTCCTTGTTCTCGTCGGAGCAGCAGGTTCTCTCTCTGTTTCTCTCTCCTTTCATATATTTATGCGGTTTTATGAATGTTTTATACAAGCGTTACCTATTTGGTCTGAAGAATTCCTTCGACTTCTAACTTCTTTTTTTGGTATTGTCTAATTGGATTAATCCGAACTTAGTTGGTTTCGTCGATAGGTTTTGATTATTAGCATACTGGTGTGAAGTGCCGTAGTCGATTATATGCTTAGCTTGTTTGTTACGGTTGAATTCGTTTGGGCACCAGAAGCTCAAATCAGGCTTCACAGTTTATTTATCCCCCTTTTATCCCCAGTTGATCTAAAGCTCGGCTGGATAGGTATATGTAGCAATCCTCACAGCTGAAGTTTGAGCTTGAAGAACTGGGGGTCATAGGCTAATAGTACTGAGAGGAAAACGTGTTCTTTCATGTGATCCAGAGGTCTGTGGAAAATTCTGTGTAGTGGCTAAACGAAGAAGATATTTGGGTACTGATTACTTGATATGGAATCGTTACACATTATCGTTAATCCTTGTTACGACTTTCTCTTTGTTTAGGATTGGATAAATGGGATCATCTCTATTAGATTAAACTTGACTGTACGTTCAATTTTCTGGGCCAGTGATTTATTTTTCGTGCTCATGCACTGCACTAATGCTTATCGTTAGTTGTGTGCTACATAGGTGAATCGACTAGAGTAACACATGGCATTCATTTCTTAAGTCTCTGGAATGTTCTTTTAGCGGCTCAAAATAAATACATTACCCTAACTTGTATCTGGATTTGGATGTATTCTGCGATTTATAACATGGTTAGCAATCCTAAAGAGAAATAATTATATTATTATTATTAATGAAACAATGATTTTTTCATGAAAAATGGCTGGAAACAGGAGTGACTGGATCTATCATCTTGAGGAGCGGGAGCATATCTGATTTGCTCTCTCATCTTCAAGTGTTGATAAAAACTTTAAATGAAGCTGAAGCATCACCCGGGAAGTATGATGCCGCACTTTTAGCTGCTCAGGTATGAAATGCGTCTCATACATATCTCACAAGTTCAGTCATTGTCAGGCATCTTAAATTTCACAATGCTAAACCACATGGATATATTGTGTTTCTCCCTTAGTATTTTTACATTTTGTGATATTATGAAGGGGACTTGGGGGTGGGATATGTGAGTATAGGTTAGTGTTGTTGGGTATGGAACCTTATTAAGCTCCATCTTTTACTGCATCAACATTTCAAATCTGCCTCAAGATCATTAGGTTATAATTAATTTGTAATTCGAGCTTCTGTTGAAAGTGAATTCAACAACCTGATAACTTATATAGCTATAACTTGTTTAGGATAGCACTGACTGTGGAATGTTGCAATATTCTCTTGGGTAGTGGGGGTTCCAGAATCCCATATTAATACCTGGTTCTTATTGTGCTATTTGTGAGTGCATCTCATTCTTCTATAAGAAGTTAGTTGTATTCAAAGTTTGACTCAGTTTATACTCCAAGCTAACTGGAAAAAATTAAATAAAAGTTCACGTACAATTTATCTACATCAACAATTCTTCTGCTTGCCGTTAGAAGCACATAGCATAAGCATAAACTGTGATTCTTTATTCTTCTCAAAATTCTGATGAGAAAAGATATTCACTTTAATATTGGATTACCTTAGTAAACTGTAGGAAAATGTGTAGAAAGAATAGAACTGTTTGACTGAAAAGATTAGTGATTATATATAAATAATATCAAAAGGAAGAGCGGAATTTAATTACAGAAGTTTAAAGATGCTTCTTGAATATTAATGGAGGCATAAACAAGTCTACATCATCTTTGAGTTGTAAAATGTGAACTCGCTTTGTGTATTTTTCTTCTGATAGAGGTAAAATGTACATTCTGGATTACTTCTTTTATGCTATTGCTTGTAAGATTGAGTATCTGTGTGCTCTAACCTGCCCCTAACTTTTCGATAGGTTTGGATTTTCTTTTTCTTCCTCATCGTCCACAAGTGTTGGGAATAGGCTGCATTATATATACATAGAATAAAAACTAGAGGATGTTATTAAACTATATTTACTGCTCAGTGCTCATGTTTCCTTCAATGGCTTGCCTTCAGGTTCGGCAATTGGCTAAAGAAATCAAGGAGTTAAGTTTATCCAATCCCGTCACTGTATTTAATGGGAATTCATCTTCCAGTGGTATGTATTGCTTGTTGAATTTAGCGTATCATGTCTTCCAATCTCACAAATGTGCTTCCATGGAGTGCGTATGATAGGTTCGTAACTTGTAATTGGCGTCTTGTTCCAAACATTTGTGATGTCACAAGTTGATAATGAAATATTATCATAATTATAGTAAAAACCTACACTCTCATTCTTATATGCATGTAATTTAAGGTTATTTGGAAAAGAACTGTCAATTTATGGGTATCATAATCTTTGAATAATTGTTATTGTTGGTACCATTTTGAGAAGTTGGTATTTCAGAGACTTTACATTATAGTTAGAGTGCAGCCATGAATTCTGAGCCGTTCCTTGACTCCCTAGTGTTCCACTGCATATACTTTCAATAGCTCGATAAGTTTGTTAATGTTGAATTTTAGGAGAGCATGTTATATCTGAAAGGTAGAGCTATTAAATATCCAAAGAAGGATCTTGTAAATTATAAGCTCAATGATCAAAGTTCAGGAATCGGATAGGAATGCTCGTGATGTTCCTTTATTCTCCAAATTACAACTGGAAGTCCCTCATTAAGATGACAAGAGCATCTTTCTGGAAACTCGAATGACTTAACCATAAGCCTTATTTTAAAGCGTAGTAGAAAATTGAGTTGTTTGTATACCTCATATAGCATCTGCACCTACATAAGACATATGAGATTTCTTGCTAGATTCAGTTTCTTTCATATGGGATTTATGAAGATTTGGTGAATTGAGCCTGTAGTATCTTCTGTAGGACAACAGTTAAGGGACCTGCTTACATTCTTTTACATTCAGCTTCCACTTCGTTTGAGGCATTATATTCAAATCATCTTACATTGTCTCTGGTTTCTGCAGGAAGTTATGCATCATATATATTGCCTACAGCAGCTTTGGGTGCTATGGGATACTGTTACATGCGGTGGAAGGCAAGACTTATTTCTGACTCTTGAGCCTTCTTCTTTCTTTTCCCGCTTTTGGTTCACTTTGCCCTTTTTTCCTGCAGGGATGGTCATTCTCGGATATGATGTTTGTGACCAAGAATAACATGGCAAATGCTGTTGCAACAGTGTCAAAGCAGTTGGAGAACGTTTCAGAAGCGTTGGCTGTTAGTAAAATCTAGGAAACATTTAAAAACCTCCTCAACTTCTTTCTTTTGTTCTTTTCTACTTCTAAAGGTATTGTTTTCTTTATCAACCAATTCATTTTACTTTTTGCAGTCAACAAAGAAGCACCTGACAAAGAGATTGGAAAACCTGGATTGGAAACTGGATGAGCAGAGGGAAATATCAAAACTTATTTCCAGTGATGTATGTACAACATTAGCTCTTGTAATTACATATTTGGTTGAACATACTATGAGTTGCTTTGGGTCTGGCTTTATCATTTCATATGTATTCTTGAGCTTAAATCAGTATGCTGTGACCATGTCTACGCAATTATGAAAGTACTCATAATCATTTAAATCATAACTACCTAATGCCTGTCATGATACTTTCTCAATGTTATGTTTTCCGCCATTGAGGCTTCAGGAATGACGATAACTTTATTAGTCACCAAAAAATATGTGAGCTCTAATCTTTGTTGATATTGCAGGTTACTGGAGTGAGGTCTAATCTTAATCAAATAGGGTATGACATTAATTTGATCCACGAGACGTTGTCTGGTTTGGTATGTTACCAAATTTCTGTAATATAAATTTTGTAAATAAATCAAGATGATCAAATGACTTGAACTGATGGGCCTTGACCTGGTTAAAACTGACAGGAAGGAAAAATCGAGCTTCTTGAAAGCAAGCAGGTACTGAGTTTTCAAAATTTACCCCAACTTACAAATATAGTACCCTGCAAGGATGATCTTTAATACTTTCATTAATGGTATTGCAGGATATGACAAATTCAGGTTTGTGGTATCTGTGCCAAGTGGCAGGAAATATCCAAGACGGTCCAAATTCTAAGGTTATTCAGGTTCTCATCCTTTCTTCTTCTCCAAAAATATTCGGTCTTGTTTTGATGAACACAAATCTTAAACAGATCAGTTGGATTGGTTTAACTGCTTTAGTCCTGCATTTTTGTATTCTTTTGATGAAGTATCTTAACGTTATTTCTCAGGATGTTGGGGTAAAGCTAATAGACAGGAAAACAGTGATTCCAGAGAGGGAGAAGGTAAAGGTGAGTAAATTTTTTGTAATCATCTTTTTCTGTATGTAAGTTATATAAGTTTGGCTAACAATGTGCACAAAACGTATCACAATATCCAGGGGCTTCAATTCATTGTTGGAAATGATGAGTTGAGTGCTAAACAGAAAACAACTTCAACTAAGGATGGAAAAGGTGTTGATAGTATTTCTGCCGAGAAAGTGACTGCAGCAAAAATGAGAATCCACCGATCTTATCCAGTTGGGCTATCTTTCGCCCAGAACATCGTGGGTTAAGGTTCTTGATTTTCGCGCATATTTTACTGAATCATGACTTAATTTTTGGGATTCAAATCCAGGGGCCACTTGTGTGAAATAAATTGAGGGATCCTATGTGTGGCAATTCAGTTTCCCAAACATCGCTTTTTGTTCCAATAGGGTTCGGTTTATCTGTGATATGATATGCATGTGGACACTGTACCCAATTGTTCGTTGGTGCAATTCATATGAATTCCTGAATGTTTATTTATTTTATGTGAGGACATCGCATTTTGGGAGCCTACTAACGCGTCTTGTCAAATAAATCGGACTTGGATTGGATCCATCATCAGTTCGTCTTTTGTCTAAGCGTTTGTTTGGTTGCATTGACGTATTGGGCTATCGATATAATCCCATCCCACTATATTTTTCAGTCTATTGAAGACATTAACTTGTTTGTTTATATTTCTAGATAATGGGATATCAGACCCATTATTTTGTCCATTGACATGTTTGTTTAGGCCGAGAGAGAGAGAGAGAGAGAAATGATTACTTGTTTCTCCTTGTCAAGCTACAAGCGAAGCCGGAGGATCTGACCTTTGCCCTTTCTTCTTTCTTTTCTCTCGTATTATTTTGATTTCTCTTGGATCAGTTATTATCATGTCTGGATGCATGGTTTTTAAATTTGTGATGGTTGCATGCAACTTGCGGTTGTCGGCAAAAGTTAGGGTTACACTGTACTCGATTTAGGGATGTTGAGATAATGGAGAAGCAGGCGGGGTGGGATGTGTTCTCCAGCAATTTGTTTGATGAGTGACAGGGCCCTTTCATTATCAAAGGCTATACCTTTGTCAACTAAACATAAAGACATTCATGTAGTACCATTTAGTTGGATTGGTATCAAGCCCATGAAGAGCAACCAAACACAGCCTAATTGGATGGATTGATATCAAGCCCATGAAGAGCAACCAAACACAACCAAAGAATCGAGAGGTTTTCTTTGAACATGGTGGTGAGCTGAACGTAGCTCAAGTTTGGGTTTCAGTTACCATTCTGACTTCAGTCCACACCCTTACTTTTTTTTAAGAGATCACACCCACTTGCCATAAGAAGCTATTCAAAATTTTTATTTCGAAAATGCCCCCAAGTTTAACACGTAGTCCCACTTTGTAATGGATACGGTGCTCTTTTATAATTCAATCAATACATATTTAATATAAAACAATACCTAATATATTAGTACGTATGTTCTTTATAGAGAGTATTTAAAATACATTAATTAATACTAGGTCGAACATGCTTTCGTAAAATTAAATAATTTTATAATTTTGTATAGTTTTTTAATTGAAATACTTTGAGTGAGATGGGTTGCAACACCACCAGTTGGAATTAGTAAACTTAGTACGGTTTGCAGACGGTTTTTCATTTGTCCAACTTTGTCACTGAGACAATGAGCTATAAGTTATTCAACTCATTCAGATACCTCTCAACAAAACATCGGTTCGTTTCCTACTCCAAGTGTACAATGACTCGATTATGGATATAAAGAAAAATCATGACAACATTGTGTGAAATAAAACCCCTTTTTTCATTAAGAACTCAAAAAGAACAAAAAATATTACATAAGTAATCTACCTAAGGGCGCAGAAAACTATTTTATCCTCCCATAAGAGATGCAAATACTCATACACAGATGAACATAAATAAATAAAGAGATTACAACTTATTTTATTCACAATTCACAATACTATTATAGATTATAAATAAATAAAGAGATTACAACTTATTTTATTCACAATTCACAATACTATTACAGATTTTATTTGCAAAATGAGAATGTTGAAGGTGATGAACGATGTTTTGTTCTCTATCCAAATCGTGTAGTTATAATGGTCCGAAACCCCTATGTTAATGTTTCGTTGACTGGAGGTAGTGGATCACATGTTCTTGGGTCCGCTTCTTTAATTATTGCTCCATTAGTGGTTGTTTATAGCTATTATTTACATGGTTGAATATCCCCAATGCACAAACTTGCTAACTCGGAGTTTTTGTCCATTTCTTGTGGAAAAAAATCTTCATATTTTTATCGTGTTCTACTATTTTCTTAGTGGGTCTTAAGTCTATTCCAACTTGCCTTTTCTTTTTATATTTTTTAGTTTGAAGGACTTTTGTTTTTTGGAATTCCATTTTTTTTTTTTATTCTCTCTTGACACGGATATATCTTTCTTCATTGAAAATCCTTTACCAAATAATGGTTCTTATTTATATTCACAATTTGGACGGTCATTCTTGCCATCTTCCAATGTGTATCATGTTACACGCTTTATGCTATTTGGTTCTTGTAGCCGGCAATTTGTTTTACCATAAGTATTTCCTGTTATTTTCAATTATCTCGTTGGCAAACTTAGAAACACTCTTTGTTGTGGTGTGAAGTATGGAAGTCCCACTTGGGCAGGTTGATAAATTTTAAACGAATATATAACTCTATCCATTCTGTAATACACATCCATATTCTTCATGCTCGCCGAGATGACATTTCATCTTCAAACATACATGAGTATAATGGTATTGTTTCAGTAGTTTAAACCTGACTAAATGTTCTTTTATCTTGCCTTTGTAACTTGATGAAGTGAAAAGCAGGATGCCATCAATTTTTACTCATTATCTCTAGAGCTATGGATATGCATTTTAATTTCAGAACTTCACTTATTTTTAAATATGGATTGTAATACCATGACTGGTGAGCTGAATTATTAATCCAATTTAGTAATATAGATTTTATGTAAAACACAGAGCAACTGTTAACATAGATGCAGGGGCTCCAAAGTCTATACATTAAAAACCTGAACGGGTCATACTCCTTCAATTGCCCAGACTCGTGGAGATTTTCCTTAATCATCAACTATAAGTTTATTAGTTTGGACATATCTTCTGGTTACTAGGTCTTACAATTTATAATTCTGCCAATGATAATAAGAACTGTTAGTATTAATCCCTTTTCGTCTTTGAAGGGAGTGAGACCATATATTTCTAGAAATAGAATTGTATTTTTACTCACTCATCTTATAAAATGACTTACATCAGACTCATATTTAAAATATCCAAATCAATTCGACAACATTCTTTGCGAAGATCGTCCCTCCGAGCGGTTTTGTGAATATGTCGGCAATTTGCATGTTGCTTCGGCAATATTCGAGCATAATTTTACCTACTTACGAGTTCACGCAGAAGTGATATCTCATCCTGATATGTTTCGTTCTTCCATGCAAGACCGGATCTTTTGTAACTGAAATGATCGATTTGTTGTCACAATAGATCACCGTAGGATCTTTCTGATTTTGATTCAAATTTTTTAGAATGTTTTTTAGCTATAAAGAATGACAAGTTGTTAATGACGCTGCGATATACTCCGCTTCGGTCGTCGAAAGAGCCACAACCTTTTGCTTCTTTGAACACCAAGATATTGCTCCACTTCCAAGGTTAAACACGTAACCGGAAGTGCTCCGAGAGTCATCAACGCATCCTCCAAGATCACTATCGGTATATCCTACCAGTTTGACATCAATACCGGATTTATTAAAGATACCAAAATCCATCGTAAATTCTTTTGGCAGCTTCCCAGCGGTTTGACTATGGCTTTTCCAGGAAACGGCCAACCATACTTACAGTGAACATGATGTCCGGTCTCGTAGCGGTGAGATACATCAAATTTCTTACGAGGCTCCAGTACATCATGGAGTTCACGAGTTTTCCTTCTCCTTCTTTGCTTAGTTTCATTCAGGTTAGGCACGGTGTAAAAATCGGATTAGCTTCCTCCATTCAAAACTTTCTAAGCACTTCTTCCGCATATTTTCCTTGTGAAATATAAATTACGTCGCTTGTTTGGGCGATGATTCCCAAAAAATGATGGAGTTCACCCAAGTCCGTCATTCGAACTCTTTCATCATTGATTTCTTGAAATCTGCTAGCATTTTCAAATCATCTCCGGTGAAAATAAGAACATCAACGCACATACTTACGAGAATGAAGCCGTTGCTGAAGTTTCTCCTGACATAAAGAGTTTGCTCGTATGGACACCTTTCAAAACCGTTCTTTGAAAAATATTCATTTATCCTTCCATACCACGCACGAGGTGATTGCTTTAGCCCATACAACGCCTTTTTTAGTTTGTAGGCTTTTTCTTCTTCGCCTTTTTTTACGAAACCGGGTGGCTGCTCATTGTACACCTCTTGTTCAAGATAGCCATTTAGAAAGGGGGACTTCACATCCATTTGAAAAATATTCCACCGGTTTTAGGCTGCGAGAGAAATTATTAGCCGAAGAGTATCAAATCGAGATACAGGAGCGAAAACCTCATTGAAATCTTCTCCTTCTTTCTGTTTGTACCCTTTGGCAACCAATCGAGCTTTGTGTTTGTTGACGGATTCGTCTAGATTGGTTTTTGTTTTGAACACCTATTTCACGCCAATGGGACTTTTGTTGGGAGGTAGAGAAGTGAGCTCCCAAGTACCTTTTTTTCAATCGACTCGATCTCTTTTTTCATAGCGGCGTACCATTTTTGCTCTTTTTCTGCTTCGTCGTAATATATCGGGTCTTCTCCAGCAAAAAAGGCAAAAAACAGATTGCCTTCTTGAGCGATTTCGTTTGTCTCGTCATAAATGTCTCGCAGGCTTCGCGTCCTTCTTCTTGGTGTATTTTTAGGACTGTCAGGAGGAATTGGCTCGTCTTCATTCTCATTTTTAGGTGGCTGAGAATCATCACCATTGTCAAGAGTTTCGAGGCCGGTAGATTCAACGAAGTTGTAGCAAGCATCTTCACTGAAGCGAACATCCCTGCTTATAACAATTTTCTTCGTTTTTGGGTTATAAAGCTTGTAGGCTTTCGTCTTCATACTGTAGCCGATGAAGACGCATTTTTCTGCTTTATCATCCAACTTTGATCTCAATGCATCCGGTATGTGAGAATAAGCTAGGCAACCGAAAGTTTTGAGGTGACTTACATTCGGTTTCTGTCCATGCCATACCTCATTTGGAGTAGCATCTTTCAAGCTTTTCGTGGGAGAGCGGTTGATCAAATACATGGCGCACGAGACTGCTTCTGCCCAAAAAACAGCAGACAAGTTTTTCTTTTTTAGCATGCATCTCACCATGTTCATGATTGTTCGGTTTTTGCGCTCTGCGACCCCGTTTTGTTGTGGTGTATAATGTGCTGTCAATTCATGCCTAATTCCATTTTTCTGGAAAAATCAGTAAATAACGAAGACACGAACTCGCCTCCACGATCTCTTCTTACGTTCTTCACTTCGAGCCCGGATGATTTTTTGACTTTTAATTTTAAGTCTTTGAAACATGAAAGTGCTTCTGATTTTTCCTTCACGCAGTACACCCAAATTTTTCTTGTATAATCATCGACAAATAACAAGAAATACTTACTGCCGCCTAGAGAATCAACCTTCATCAGACCACACAAGTCGGTGTGAACAAGTTCCAATGGTGCCTTTGATGTCCAGGTTGACTTTGATGG